GAGGCGGGCCTGCCGGCCTCCGGCCGCCCCTGGCCGCCGGGCGCCTCCTCGAGCCTCGGCCGCGCGGCCCTCTGCGGACTGGCCGAGCGCTCCCTCTGCTCCCCGAGGCGCTGCTTCTTCTGGCCGCCGGCTGAAAGCTCCTTTGGTTTCCTAACGTCGTGTTCCCTTTTGATATCCCAAGCTGGGTCTGGGCTTATCTGGTGGGAAGGGTCGGAGGGTGGGGCTGGATGTGATGGAGAGAATGGAGAGAGGACGTCTTCGAGGGAGACGCCTACTTCCGGCAGACCTGGGGCGGCGGCAGCGGGAGAACTCCAGGAGCTGGGTTCGTCTGTGGACAGGAGGGACAGGCGTTAGGACCGCGCCACGCGGGGTTGCGACACTCCCGCGACCTCCCTCTACGCCGGGGACAAAGGCGGGCAGCCAGGGCGACTGCTGTCAAAGTCCCCAGCCACTCCTACCCCAGCTTTCACTGCCTAGAAGACAGCGGGTCGAGGCCTGCCCTCCTTTCCACCCTCCACCCCAACCCCATTGATAAACTAGGGAAGTCAACGCAAAGCCGGGCCTAGTCCCTTCTCCTTGGCCCCTCCTAACTTCCTGGGTGTCATCAGGCCTGACAGTCCTGTGTGGACGTCTGACTTGGCAGCACTTGAATCAGTGGTTCTGGAATTCAAGTATATGCGAGGTCTTCAACAAGTTCATGGAAAACGCATATTATGATGTAAAAAATTATGTATGGATCTCAAAACATTTCTTGCACCAAAGTAAACTGGTACTTAAATTTCGTTTTTTTCTACAAACTTTTGGAAGTCCCCTGTATATGGAAATCACCTGGGATGGTTGTGAAAAATACAGATTCCCAGGGACCAGGCTCAGAGATTTTAGCAGCATAGCACTCGAGAATTACTCTGCATTTTAAACCGGACACTCAAGTGATTCTGAGCAAGATGGTCCCAGAGCTAGAGCTTTGAGTCCTCTCCAAGTACAGTTGGAGGAATGGCTTTCTCAACCATTAGGTGTCACTCAAAGCATAATTCTTAGCTGCCAGCCAGAAAATCTCAGACTTTGGATACATTCATCTAAACTGTTGTCTTTAAAAAAATCGTCCTTAATTCTTTTTGGTAGTTCTAAACATTATGGAAGGCCCCTGAACTAAGATAAATGATTCTTTCTAGGAAGGCTAGTTTCAACATTTATTTAGGATTTAAAATCTGTCTACTTCCAAAAAAGATTTAGGACAATTTACAACATCAAAACACACACAAAGCAGAATGATAAAAATGAGAAATGACTTTTTGAAAAAAGCAACCACCAGTCAGAAGCCAAGTAGAAAGAGGACAGATGTGTTAGGAATCTGAGATGAGTTAGTTACCACTATGAGTGATAACATTACCCTTGAGTTTCTGGCCACTAAGGCAAAATTTAAATAGGGAACTCCAATGCAGTGAACCCTCAGTATTTGTGAGGAAGAGAGCTCATGACCTTTGGAAATCCTCACGTTTTGCAGTACCATTCTAGTGTAATTTTTCTCCGTAAAATTGGTGTATGGTTATGAGAGGAGAACAAAGAAGCCACAGAGGTATTTGAATTTGGGGAGGCAAATGAGCTTCTCACTAGCTAAGAGATTCAGTCCCACACATCAGCCTCAGTGCATGCGATTCAAGTTCCTGCCTCTGTAATGTGTGTCAGAGACTACAGGAATCCTTGTGAATACACAGTCCACAAATGTCAAGGGTCCTCTTTATTTTTTAATTTTTATTTTTTTGGAGAGTTTTTTTTCACTATAGGGCACGTGCACTCGCCAGACAGAGAGAGACATAGAGACAGAAAGCGAGAAATCACCCCCCAGGGGGGATGGTCACGCCGCAATCCCTTCTCCTCCATTCTCCTCGGGATCTTGGGCACGCACGCACACGTGCCCGGCGTGAGTTTTAAGCCACCGGGTCCGGGACACGAACCGCAGTCGACTACGTGGGAGTCCAGCGACATAGCCATTATGCTAACTGCTGGTTCCCAAGGGTCCTCTTTATTTTAAAGTTGAGGATTCTTATATCTTTGATACTGATTTATAAAGATGCGAAAAGAGGAAGAGAGGAGTGGGTTTTTTTTTTTCCCCAATGACTTTGGCCATCTTTAGAATATCAAATTAGTTTTTAAAAATTTCTTCTTTCAAGGGGCCAGCAGATGGCAGGCACTGGACTCCTACATGGCTGACCATGGTTTGAGTCCCGGACCCAGTGGCTTCAATCTTGCACCAGGCACGCATGTGTGTGTACACAAGATCCCAGGAAGAGAGCAGAGGAGAAGGGATTGTGATGTGGCCACAACCCCCCACCCCCATGATTTTTTTTTTTTGGAGGATTTATTTATTTATTTATATATTTATATATTTATTTATTTTGTTATTTTGGCTATAGTGCATATGCACTTGCCAGAAAGACAGAGAGAGACAGAGAGACAGAAAGCGAGAAATCACCCCCCAGAGGGATGACCACGCCGCAATCCCTTCTCCTCCATTCTCCTCTTAGGATCTTGGGCATGCACGCACACGCGCCCGGCGTGAGTTTTAAGCCACTGGGTCTGGGACTTGAACCTCAGTTGACTACATGAGAGTCCAGTGACATAGCCATTACGCCAACTGCTGGTCCCCTGGGCATGATTTCTTGCTTTCTGTCTCTCTGTCTCTCTGTTGAGTGCATGCACCGTATAGCAAAAATCTTTAAAAAAAAAAATTTCTCCTTTCATGTGAAATTTGAATGGAGTATTTTGGGCCTAATGTTATCTTCCTTCTTTCCGTAGACTGATGCCCATAATCATCCTCACATAGTAATTAAAAATATCTTAGAAAAGCATCAGAAAGCCTGTAACCTAATCCTGCCTCTGGCATTTATTTATCAGTGATGTGATTTGGGATCAGCCACTAGAACTCTCTGAACCTCAGTTTTCTCCTTTATCAGATGCGGATAGAATGTCCAACTTCTTAGGTGGGAGATATTCAATTTTTAAAGGAAAAGCACCTTGCGACAGGAGAGCTCCGCTGATCATTTGCACATAGTTGAATTGTACTTTTTCTTCTGTGCCTCGGTGGCTGCCTACTTATGGGGTGAACTCCTCTGGAAGCTGCTGTGTTAACTAGCGTACTTACAGGTGAGGTTTTGAATAAACACAATAAGTTAGTCATTTCAATATGCTACGTTTCCCAGGTATGATTTTGCTATATCTCTGGGATGCTTGGTTACATCAAGGACTATTATCCTCAAATGCACATGTATTTCATGAAAATTAGAATATCTTCTTTCAGTTGGGTTAGAGTTCAAAATCAAACTAACACATGATAAACGGTGAAAACTCCATCAATATAGGAAGATATTGCCTAGAAGAGTTAAAAGTGGTCTTTAAAAGGCATAAGTAGAGGGTGGCTTGTGCAGTGTACTCTCTGACGTGGATTGTGTTAATGATATTTCACATTTTAATAGCTCTTTTCCCCACCATTACATCACATATGGTAGAGTCAATTAGCTAGCCTCAAATTACTTCTGAGATACAGGGAGAGGGTTGGTATTATTCACACCATTTCCTGAAGGAGGAATTGAAGTAGAGAGATGTTAAGTAACTTGACCGAGATTACAACCTGGACCACTCAGGAGTATAATTTTGGGTTTCTTTACTCTTCCTACTTACCAAGAAAATTGTCCTAAGATTTTGCCTTGCAAGTAGAATCAAACATGTAAAATGGACAGGCTCAGTGGCCATTGTGGGCCAATAGGAACTGGATCCCATCATTAAACAGAATAGTTAGTATTTATAATATTTCTGAACATCTCACCACATGTCTCATATAAACTGGAGAGTTCTTGTCCAGAAAAATGTAAAAATGTTAAACTCCACTTATAAATGCCCATTATCAGCTGGCCTCAAAGTACTTTTGAGATACAGAGACATTCCCCTTCCTTCTACTTCCAGTGATTGTCCAAATGATAAACTCGAAGGTAAAATCATCACCAATACAAAGGGATTCCTCTTATTATAAAACAGAATTCTCAGGCATTTGTTTAGAGATCACTAAATACCTAAAAGTGGGAGAGACTAAAATCTAAAATGTTCCTAGCCACCGGGGGCCAGCAGGTGGCATGACGGTTAAGATGTTAGACTCCCACATGGCCAACCATGGTTTGAGTCCTGGACCCGGCAGCTTGCTCCTCACCACTCCACCTCATCAAATTTAAATAAATAAATAAATAAATACATAAATAAATAAACACATAAATACTTCTTCTTTTTTTTTTTTTAAGAGGTTTTTGCTATAGGGCGTGTGCGCTCGCCAGACAGACAGAGACATAGAGACAGAAAGCGAGAAATCACCCCTCAGCGGGGATGGTCATGCCGCAATCCCTTCTCCTCCATTCTCCTCTCGGGATCTTGGGCACACACGCACACGCGCCCGGTGTGAGTTTTAAGCCACCGGGTCTGGGACGCGAACCGCGGTCGACTATGTGGGAGTCCAGCGACATAGCCATTACGCTAACTGCTGGTTCCCCATAAATACTTCTTTAAAAAAATAATATTCGGGGGCTGGCAGATGGCATGGTGGTTAAAAGCACTGGACTCCCACATGGCTGACTGCTGTTCAAGTCCTGGACTGGTGGCTTACTTTCTCATTTTCTCTTTATCTCGCACTCTCACTCTGTCTCTCTCTGGTCAACATTTAAATAAATAAATAAACAAATAAATAAAGTTAAATGAATAATAAAAAAAGAATTTTGGGACCAACAGATAGTATAATGGTTACAATGCTGGACCATGGTTGACTATGGTGGCTTGAAACTCCTGAGAGGAGAAGGAGGAGAATGGACTGTGGTGTGGCCATCCCTCCTGGCAGGTGATTTCCTGATTTCTGCTCTCTGTCTCTCTCTGTCCCTCTGGCAAGTGCATATGCTGTATAGCAAAAATTTCTCTCTCTAAATATATAAAATAAAATAAATCACAAATTAAAATGAACTATTAGTAGATCGTAAAGTAAAATGATTTAAAAGATAGAAATTTATATGTGTGGTTAAATAGTTTTCATTTTTCTGATAGAAACTCTCCAGTTCAATACCAGACCTGTGACGTCTTCACAGGCATACACCTAAAATGTGCAGTGAAGTACCAAAAACCTTTAGCAGAATAAGTGCAATATGTAAGTCATTTCAATATGCTGTTATTCACCCATCTTCCTATCACCTACCTCAGCAAAGGAATATGAACTATGGTACACAGGAGAGCCTTTCTCTAATGTTTCAAATTCTAAGTTCAAGAAATCTTGAGTAGGGGCCAGAAGGTTGGGTAGTG